TTAGTAAGATTTAGAGGAATAAGCTTATCAAGAATAGAAGTAATGTAGATATTAAAAGCACAGACAAAATCATCAACATCAGAAAATAAGGTAGTATCAAAAATAGGTTCAGTAAGAGATTGAAGAAAAATATCTTTATTAAGAGAAGACCAGCATCTTTTAGAAATAGACATAGATGAATTTGAAGGAAGAAAATCTAATGAAAAAACAGATTCAATAAGAAGGTGATCAGAGTAAGGAACAGAGCTAGCAGAGATATTAATAGGCTTAGAAAAAGATGAAGCTATAATAAAATCAATAGTGTTACCAGAATTAATATTAATTCAGTCAAAATTAATAATAATGAAATACAATTCTGTGAAAATGCAACAAACCTAGGGTGTATTTTTGACTTGAGATTATCTTTTAAAGATCATATAAAAACCATATCCAAATCATGTTCTTATCAGCTTTGCCAGTTATACCGCGTTCGAAAATATTTACATCAAACAACCATGCAAACACTAATTCATGCGTTTGTTTATTCACGGTTAGACTACTGTAATAACTTGTTCAATGGATTACCAGAGAGATCTATTGCTTTTTTTCAATCGATACAGAATAGAGATGCAAAAATAACTGTTGGACGTAGAAAGTATGTCATGGTCATGTGACACCCATTTTAAGAGACCTACATTGGCTAACAGTGAAAAAAAGAATCAACTATAAGATTTGTGTGACTATGTTTAAGGCTTTGAACGGGTTGTTACCAGTATATCTAGCAAATAAAATCTTAAAAAAAACCAGCTTCTTCAACAGATGTAAAATTGAGATCAGACTATGCCAACCTACTGGCAGTGACAACAACTCAACTACAAACTGCAACTAGAAATAATGCCGTGTCAGGACCAATTGCTGGAACAGTCTTCCGCAATCGCTCAGAATGCCTGGACTAAAGCTTGATGATTTTAAGAGGAACTTAAAAAAATATTTATTTTGACATAGAAATACTTTATCGATTTGTACTTTAATGGCCTTCACTGATTTCATTTATAATAGAGAGCGCCTTCGAGAAATTTCAATTTTATAATGCGCTTAATAAATTGTTGATAATAATAATAATAATACATGCATACATACATACATATATACATACATGAATGAATAAATTAATGAGTGAATAAATTAATGATTGAATGAATGAATGAAAAAATGAATGAATGAATACGTATATGCTATGCATGGATGCATGAATACATGCATATTCATATGCATGCACATTCACGCACACATACGTTTTTGTAAGCATTATTCACACTTTCTAATCAAGTTCGTAAACATTTTGTTGAAAATATAAAATTCTTTAACAAATTATCTCCGTTAATTAACTCTGTGTTATATTTCAAATTTATACAAAAGAAAGAATCTCCTAATATCACTTCAAATTGAGTCAGGAGAGGACAAAAGCGCCCATCTCACGGTCGGCGAGCAATATCTTTTATCGCCGCTACTATCGCGGTTCGATTAAGCGGATTTTGACTACATATTTGTCAAATTGAAAAGTTTGCTTTTGTCTAGTGGAATTCTATATGATTTATAAAAATTTAGTCCAAAAATATGCGGCAGCCAGGCTTCTACTGTATGATAGCATTTGCACATCTAGATGCCTCGGAGATTCAAACAATTTAAGCAGGAATGTTAAATCTTAGGCAAACATTCGGCTCGGAATTTAAAAATTTGCATTAATATAATTATAACAAACGATGATGTAATGATGATTATGACGATGAGGACAACGACGACGACGACGATGATAACGTGACTGAACATGTTGAAAAAATGAGGTGGGTGGTAATATGTTAAAAGATGAACGTAACAATATTTGTTTTTTTTTTAATTATTTGTCAATCGATACCTGCCCCAAGCAATTACATACAAGGTTATAACGTGTACTATATTGAATAAATATGTATAACAATTACATATGTATGTATATATATAATGCTAATCTTAATCCTATATATATATATATATATATATATATATATATATATTATATATATGTTGGTAATAGACCATAATTTTTACAATATTCTATAAATTCTACCGAATGTTATTATATATTATATATATATATATATATATATATATATATAGGATTAAGATTGTCAGAAATGCAATAATGGATGAAAAGATTAGAGTCGTGTTTAATTTTTCTATTTTTCTATCTGTAGATTGAAAATAATTTTTTTGAACACAAAAAACTTGACAACGATTTACGATCTACCGTTAGAAAAATTGATAAATTAACCAGGAGGCTAACTTACGCGAAACATGCTGCAATTTTCATAAATAATACCTATATATATATATATATATATATATATATATATATATATATATATATATATATAATGAATAGTATTCTGAAGATATCTTTATACGCAACACACTCACATTTACATATACACACTAATACAATCACACGTACGTACATGTTTAAGCATACATTCATTCACACATACAAACACACATAAATACATTTACAGACAAATTTACACATGCATTCAAACTTACAAACAAATGTTATATATAACATAACATTACATATAACTGTTGTTTCGAGTCTTTTCGCTTCATTGCCTTCTTTCATTCGCTGGTCGATCTGCCATTCTGCATGCTAAACATTCAAGTGTTCTGCATGCTTTCAAGTCATTATTCGAGTTAACACGATTAAGATGAATGAACACATTAAATAACACAGAGATTAGTTTTCATATCATAAATAATTATTAAGAAAAAAAATGTTTTTCAAATATTTTCCAATAGGCCGTCACTGTTATAACGAAACCATCTTCCATTATTGCCACCATCATATTGTTATCAACCACCATCGTTCACTCATTAAGCTTCACCATCTTAATTGTCATGACGCGATGTTTAATCAGTGGCTTTGTAGATCTGATAATCAACTCATCAATGCAAATAAAAAAAATATTGACAACCTCAAAATCTGTGGTGCACTTTATGATATCTGCCCATTTTTATTTGTATGTTTGTTAATATTCTATTGATGATTTCAAAATGCTGCAATATGGTAAACATTTTATGTTTTATACACAGTAAATTTTATTCTATGTTTAATTCTATTTATAATATCAAAAATGCAGTTATGCGTTTATATTAATTATACTACAATTAATTACACTACCAAGCAACAAAAACAACGCCAAAGACACTATCAAATAACAATACGACCTACACCAACAGACAACAACAATACTTCAAATAACAACACGACCTACACCAACAAACAACATCTATACCTCAAACAACAACACGCAGAAACATCACCACAGTCCCACCTCTTAAACGTTAAGTGGTTGATGGTTGTTGCGTTAAAGGCACTTGAGACATCGAACTGATCGGACGAAATGTCGCCTGCACGCTTATGTCACCTCGGGGAGAGCATTTGTGTCTCATACTTTTGTGCCTCTGAGATGTCTCTTCATTATGTCCTGCTTGTTTATTTCTTTTAATGCTTCTTGAGTCATTTTGATTAGGTTGGTAAATGTTTATGTTTTTTTTCCTTTGCCGCTTGTCTTGTTTTTGTGAATTTTGTTTACTTAAGTGCTTTATAAAGATATTTAATTAGGGTTGCATGTGTTTATCTAGAACAATATTTTCTCTTTCGTTTTCAAAAGACAAAAATGTTTTCTTTGGCTTTATTGATATAGTATTACAGATATAGTATTACAGATAGTATATCTGAATTGGATTTTTAAAAATTTACATCGATAGTCAGCAAACACCAAGTATTAAAATTCAAGAAGTATTTTTTAGTATTATAGGCTCGCACGTAGGAAACATTCTACATGTGCTTGTAAGTTGAGTTAGACTTTTTTGTTTTTAGTTATTTATATCACGTTTTATCTCGTTCGTCATAAAAAAGGTACGATACAAGTGTATTTATTTTAAAAGTGTATTTATTTTAAAGAAAACTAAGAAGATTGTAGATAGCAGAGATATATATGAAAAATAAAAATGTAATTTTTCTTGAAATTTTGTTAATGTTTCATATATTTCATATATATCAATCATATTCAATTTTTTCAATTTTTGCTTCTTTCCTTCGGTGGATTTCAAATGTGCATTCAGTTTCGTTTTTATTTTTACGCTCTACAGAATTTTAATTTACAATTCTCCTTTACAGGAACGAGATGAAGGAGAAAATTTATTTATGAATTTTTTTATCGGCTCATGTTCAATTTATGGATTTTTAAGTTAGAAGTTAAGTGCATTTTCAATATTCAATAAAACACAAACACATTCACATACATACATACACACATACACACACACACACGCATGTACACATAATTTATATTAATAAATTTCAAAAGAATAATGAGTTGACTTGTTATGCTGCTATAATTAGCAGATTAGGCAGTTAGATATTTTAGGTCATAATCTTAGAAATGTTAATGCTTTAAACCAGTTCAATGAAATTACAAAAATTTAAATCAAATTTTCAAGCAGCACGTAAATGGAAGTTAAAAACAACATTTTAAAACTGTTTGAAACCTTCAAGATTTCTCCGTAAATAAGGTCTCATGCAATAATTGGTTTTTTAAATCTTTTTACGGTGTTTCAAGATTCGTTCAATAAAATTATTGTTTGTAGAAAATAACGTCTTACGTGAACAAAAATTATAAATAAAATTAATAACCTCGACGTTATTAATGACAATTTATATTTCTTTCAGGGTTCGATTACAGGAAGATTCCAACCTTGAACTTCAGTGGCATCTCAGATTCAGGTGTGCCTTTCTGAGTTAGGGTTAGGATTAGACTGGGGCAGTTCAAGAACCAATGCTGCAGAGAGTCAACTTGTTAATGTAAACTCCATAATAAGTACATAAGACTCATGTATGGAAGCCACATTTAAGGTACGTGTGTGAAAAATATTCCTTTGTGCCATGCGGTGTGATTCTATTGTTTTCGTTGCATGTAGAGCATTAACGAAGTTTTTATTTACAGACTTGTTCATGTTCCTATCCAAAGAAAATTTTGAACAAATATACGCATATTTTTTCAGACTCATGTAGATTTATGTACACGCAAATGTGTGTGCTATATACGGTGCTGATCTGTTTGTGCGAAATACACGAACAGTGTTGGAACGTGAAGAATAAATGTCATTCACTTAGTAACAGTTCATTTTTTAATATTTTTTTTTATGTTGTTCCTATCTCTGGTTAGTAAATGGCTTCAAATATTGTTTGATTATAACAATAACAAAATAAACACTTTTATTTTTTTGAAAATTTATGAGGTAAATATTTCCTTATAATGTTGTAAGGACAGATTTCTGCTTACTACTCTGAGTTGAAGTTTTTTCATTTAATTTTCCAAATTTCAGACGGTTTCCACCACCAAAAGAACCGAACAGCAAGAAGACTCGCAGTGCCAGAGAAACAAGAGATCGTTTGTTTGAACAGCTTCATTTTCATAACACAATGGCTAACATTGAGATAAAATAAAAAATACAAACAAACAAACAAACAAACAAACATATTCACCTGACAATCAGTTAATCACAAACAAACACAATTACCAAACAAATAAAAAAATTAAAAAGACAGTTAAATCAACAAACAAACCAACAGGACACAAAACTAGGAGAACAAAGACTCTGAAGCCATCAATATTGTAAAACCAAACCACATGTCATTGTGGAACCGATGTCAAACGAAATAAATTGATGTCACATGTCACATGGTCTCATTCTAAAACAGCACAATAAATTATACGATAATAACCCATCATAAACCTTTATCGCTTGGCGGTCATCATCAGCTTCGCGGTCTGACAGACAGTTTCTTTGAAGTTATAAACGCGGATGACCTGTTTATGCATGATTTTTTTTATGTTTATGTACCCATCTGAAAATTTTTTTAAATTTTCTCAATGTTAAAACTTTTTAAAAATATTATTTTAATAAAGTTGCACATTTACAAAATAACCTAATGCTTACGTTTAAAAAACTTCTCGTTAAGGAGCTTCCATGATAATAATAAAAAACATTTTTAGTTTCAATTTCAAAAGAAAAATTAGGAAAATAATATTGGCTTAAATGAAAATCAATTATAGAATAAATTATCAACATAACGTAAATAAGCATAAATAAAATAACAATCAGATAAATATGGTAGAATGAAATAATAAAATTACCAACGATGCGAACAAAATTTTGGATGGTTATAAAATACTGAGCACCAGCAATATACCTAGATCCATTCATGCTTCCAACGTCACAAGAAGCATTCCAGTAGCCATAGCTACCAAAATATGTGAGGAAAGTTCAAATAGACGTCTGTGTGAAGCTCTATGCTTCTCGTTCATCACTGACATCATTTTAACTTCTTTATACAACATAACCAGCATCATTAAAATTCTAATTATCATCATTTTCTTCATCTTCAGCATCGTCCTCTTCTTCCTCATCATAATCATCTTATGAGGCGCCTCACACACTAAAGTAGCTTGTCTAACATAACAGTGCATTATAACATTATCGTAACACAAAACAACGCAATCGTAAATCTTACATAACAATAAATCACATCACATAAAATGATGTCATATCAGTGGACATCTCACAACAAACACTTCACATCAAGCAAGCACTTAAAACCTGAGATAAAACAAGATATCACATTCCAAAAAGCTACACCAACTCACATGATAAGAGCCCAGATCACACCACTCTACCCTTAACATCAAATACGACATCACTTCAGCCAAGCATAACAACCAAGAACTCTTATCTCCCATCATTAAAAAAGATTTTAATCTTTCAAAGATGTGAAAACCATCTACCCAACAACATCTTCATCATCTTTGCTTTCATCATTTCATCATCACCAACCTCATCATCACCATCATCATCTTCATCTTTTTCTTTAAATAACAACAATGATACTAATGATGGTGTGAAATGAAATTGGTCTACAAGTACAATTCACATACTCTTATTTTATAAAATATTAACATAAATATACCTGACATCAATATTTATTACTATGATGACGTCAACAACCACGGCAACAACAACCACGGCAACAACAACCATGACAACAACAAAAAACTACAACTTGACACATTTTCACCAGCAACATCAATCATTAACATCATGAAACACCTAACATCAAAAATCACAGTAACTGCAATAAAATCAACAAAAAATGCAACAACAACAATAAAAGTAATCATGATAACAACAACAATAATAATAGTAATAGTAATAACACCAATATTAATAACAACAATAATAATAGCAATAATAATAATATTTTACGACCTGGACAAGCTCATTCTGACTGAAAATGCTCTAACTCAATTGTGACGCTTGCAAATGGCGATGATGATGATGATGATGACAAGGAGGAAGATGATGTTGATAATGATGATGATGTAGATGGTGATGATGATGATAACAAAGATGATAATGATGATGATGGTGACGATGATGAAGCCAGTCAAGATGACGACGACGACGACGATTAAAAAATTTCCGGTTTTTTCCATAAGTAGTCTGTCTCTAATTCATTTGCAAACTGTTCCCATGTGTATTATGAGAATGCACGCTTTCTGGAAGAACCTTAGCATACATACACGTTTCGTGTATTTTTTATGTATAACCATAACTGCAATCAATTTGATGATACTAATGAACACATATCTTTCTATTTATTCAATATAATTCATTGAAATTTTTAGAATTAAAAAACAACGAACTTAATGTGCTAATTACGATTATCACGGAACAACATAAATATTCATCACCAATCATCATCATTATCGTCCTCCTCCTCATCATCATCATTGCTACAATCATCATCATCACCATCTTCGTTATCGTCATCACTTTCATCATCATTAAACATAATCACAGGGTTGATGAATTTTCGTTCAAGAATTACAATTTGCACTTAGAGTACACACACATGCACGCACACACACACGTACACACACACACATACACACGCGCGCACACAAACACACACACGCACACATACACGCACATATACATTTCATTCTATATCAATGAAAAAGAACTTCATATAAAAAAAAATGGAAAAAGATTCGGAAAAATGTTTGATCTGAAAAAAACAACCAAAGCTTCACAGAATGAACATATCGTTAATTAAATGTATATTAAAAAAATAAAATTAATCAAAATTTACGAAAATATCAAAACAATGTTTTTTTATTAACGTCGAAACAACAACACCACTCACAACAAATAACACACACCAAAATTTTATAATTACGAGACTTCAGTTAAATTTAAATCGACGAAATGAGAGAAATGTTCAATAGTTTCATCGGTTGGGATGTGTTTTGTTGGTGCTTGTAAGTGTTTGGTGTTGGTTTTTTTGACTGTCGTTTGTTTGTTTGTGGTTTGTTTGATTGTGGTTTGTTTGTTTGTGTGTTTGTTTGTAGTTTGTTTGTTTGCTGTTTGCCAGCTGTATGTTTGTTTGTCGTTTGCTTGGCAAGGTCTGTTTGTCGTTGTTTGAAATCATACAAGGGGCACGATAGTTATGACGATGTATGAGAAGAAAAGAAGACAGCAAACCAAGAACAAAACGTAATCTAATTGCGATGACGATGATGACGACGACGACGATGATGAGGAAGGTGATGATGACGATCGTAAACTTGAATATCGTCTATTTTGTTGTTTGCGTGTTGATGACGTGCAAGCTGAATGACTGTGCGATTTGTCGTCGTTGTCGTTGTTGTGGTTAGTGTCGCTGCTGCTATTGGTTTTTTTGTGGCTGGTGTCGTTGATGTTTATCGGGCTGTCAACATACTTATGATCTAAAACAAGATTATTAGCGGCAACAGTACTATCAATGAAATTGATGTTGTTCGTGTTGGTTGTGCAACTGTTGCTGAGACTGTTTGAGTCAGGCTGTGTGAGTGTATCTGTTATTGTTTTTGTGCAAAAATCCACATTTGCAACTGACGATGTTGTTGTATGGTCGTTGTAATATGCCATGCCTGTCTCCGCGATGTTATTTTTGAATGCACCCATGTCAGGCTGGTGAACATTTCCAATGTTGTTCATGATGGTTTTCGTTTCAACATTTTTATAATTGTTGCAGTTGTTGTTGAAATTGTTGCTGATGTTGCGGTTGTTGCTGATGTTGCAGTTTAATGAATCATCAATCGAATTCAAGTCTTTTGCGTAACAATCGTCAGCCGGTGCGTGGATTTTCAGAGTCGATGACGTCATTTGATCGTCATAAAAGGAAACATTAGCAGGAATGTTGTTTTCACTTTGGCAACACATGATATTACCGGCAGACGAGTTGTATTTTTGTTGAAATGTGTTGTCTTGAAAGGCAACATTTTTGTTTTGGCGCGTTTTTTTGCGGATGGGATGCTGGATGGTGTTGCACGCGTACAAGTTCGTGTTGAGCAGCAGTGTTGTCGTCGTGCACCGCTTCCTGTTGTCGCGTGACGTCCTTTCAGAGTTTTTAAAATGTTGCGACGGGCCGTCAGTTTGGCATTGTTGTTGCGTTATGTTTGTCAACAAAGGCTGAAGTGAATTGAAATTAGAATTTGAATGACTCGGCTTTATTAGCTTTAATGGCACTGCAGGCGTGTGTTGCCTGTTTCTGTCGTTTAATTTCAAAGTAACGTAGAGGTCACTAGGCAGAATATCATTTTGCTTTTTTACTGGAGTTTCATTTTCGTTGGAGATTTTGAAGTCGTTGTTATTGCAGACATGGTTGGAATTGTTAAACTGGTTAACGTTGCAGTTGTTGAATACATGTGATCTGCTGTTGTTGTTGATGCTGCTAATGTTGTTGTTACAGATGCTGCTGTTGATGATGTTGTTGTTGCTGACGTTGATGTTGTTGTCGACAGTTTGGTCGCGGTGAAAAATTTTTGAAAACGTTGAATGAATTTCATCAACATCGTCGTTGCAACCTAACACATTAGAAGCAGCATGAACAAATAATTTACTTTGCTGCTTGTGTGGCTGCTTTGAATTTTGTAGATGTTGTAGCTGCTTTTCTGGCTGCCAGAATTTAGTGCTCAGAAGATTTTCATTTGAGAGCGTGTTGCAAAAATAATATTCATTGTTTTTCTGGCTGGTTGTTGAGTGGCTGTGCATGGGTCGTTCGCGGTTGATGTGGCAGCTACTTTGTTGTTGTCGGCTGCTGTTGTTGCTGTTGTAGCTTAGGTGTTGCAGAACAAGTTTTTGTTTGTGTTTTTGGTAGAGTAGTGTATTCTGTTG